TGAGCTCAAGACCAGCCTGAACTGCATAGTGAGACCCTGTCTCTTAAATAAAATAAAGAAGAAAGAAAAGCAACAAGAGCCAAAGAAAGGGTGGGAGAAGCAAGCCTCCATCTCTTGATCCCTTTCCTACTTGAGAAAGATCTACCTACTTCCTTTTTTTTTTTGTTTTTTTCTTTGCTTTTTTTAAAATTTGGGTTTGTCATATAATTGCCCAGCTATTTCCAGCCTTTGAACATCTACTATTTTAATATTGTGTGACAAGGTAAAGGTATATAAACCACTTTCTGTATAAAAAAATACAAAGGCTGACTCTAGAAAAAGCATTTACATGATTGTGAGCTAAATCCAGTTTTAGCCAGGTGTGGTGGAGCAACCTGTAATCTTAGCACTTGGGAGGCTCACGCAGGAAGATGCCACGAGTTCAAGGCCAGCCTGGGCTACATAGTGAGTTTAATGCCAGCCTGAACTACCCAGCAGAACCGTGTGTCAAACAAACAAACTAAATAAATAAATGCAATTTTGTCATGGAATAACTAACCTGAATGGCTGGCACTGTTTCCAACTATGTACATGCATGACACTAATTATAGTGTTTAAAGCAACACACATCAGTGAGGCTTGGTACCGAGGCGGGCGTCGGGGCCAGTGGGGAGCAGAGAGGGGCTGTCAGCACCGCTGACCCCGGCGGAGGCCGCCAGGAACTCCTCTAAGGTGGAGAAGCTGCCTCCCCACATCATCTGCCTGGTGCAGAGGGAGATGAGGACACTGACAGCGGACCCCGCGAAGAGCATCGAGGTCTTCCCCAGCGGGGACCTCACAGACCTGCGGTCACCGTCGAAGGACCCGAGGGGACCCCGTAGGCCAGGGGGTCTGTTGCGCGTGAGTTACAGCTAGACTTCGCTGCCTCCCCACCCAAGGGCTGCTTCCCGCCCCAGCTGTCCCACCCGAAGGTGGGAGCCAGCGTGCTCACGGGATGGAACGGCCGAGCGGGGCCCTGGAGCAGGCTGCTGAGGGCCCGCGGATCCCCCCGGACCCCGAGTCCGCGCTCGGCAAGAAGCCCTAGGGGCTTCTTAGCAGCAAGGAGTACGAGGTGCGCGCGCCTGCTCCCGGGGTGCAAGGCGCCTCCTCTGCCGACCCTGCTGCCCGCCACCCACCGCTGGGGTCCCGGGCGGGGCCAAGGGTGCCATAGTCAAGAAGCTGGCAGCGAATAAAAATACGCAAAGCGGGTGCTGGGGCAGCTGTAGGGTTTCCGTGTTGCCACTGCTCTCCCACCCTTATCCCTAAATTATTTAAATTAAGGCTGGGTGGGCTGCAGGGGCACTAAGATCTGGATTTGGTGGGGGGGTTTTGTCTTTTTGAGACAGGGGTCTGTCTCCCTATGCAGTTCAGGCTGGCCTTGAGCTCACTTTGTAGCCCCAGCTGGCCTTAAACTTGCAATGATCCTCCTGCCTCAGCCTCCCAATTGCTAGGATTACAGGGGTGCACCACCAGGCCTGGCTGCTGGACTTTTTAAAAATAAAGTTGAAATAGCATGTGGCTGGAAAAAAAAATGTACATTCAACACAGCAGGTAAGAATTGAAGTGATTTTTATTAAACCAGAAATTAAAGAGATGTGCAAAAAATGTAAAGCAATGTCACTTCTATTTGTGGAAAACATGGTGGTAGCCAGTGCAGGGTTTTCCCAAGGTTTCCACTGACTTAACTTACACGAAGCAAGCTGAGAACTTTAGACTCAAGGCATGAGAAGCAAGGAGCAGCTCAACATTATGGGAGGCTGAGGCAGGAGAGTTGCGAGTTCAAGCCAAGCCTGGCAGCTTAGTGAGACGCAATTTTTTTTTTTTTTTGATTCTGAGAATTAAACTCACGACCTCGAGCTTGCCAGACAGGCACTTGCGCCTCTGAGCTATATCCCCAGCCAGAGACTGTCTCAGCCACAAATAACAAAAGAACAATCTCCTAGCCCCTACAGCAGCGATGGGAACCTTTCAGAGCCTTCGATGATACAGCCTGCTGCAGTGTGTGCCACAGGTTAGCCGCCACTGCTCTCGTTTCCCATAATATGGTGTAGTGCTCTGACAAGCAATTATGCTCAAACTTAACTTCTCATTCAATATCCATGACCAATCACCTATCAGTTACCAACCCCATGATACTCCAAAATTCACTGGAAGATGCTCTGCCTTTGAATAAAACCAATTAACAGTAGTTTGGCCAAAGCCCTTGCTGCATTTCTATGTAAAGGAACCAGTCACCGTTACTTCAATTCATGAGTATGTTAGTTTAATCTGAATTGTTAGGTATGTACAATTTTTTCATTCAAAAACAGAACTAGTTTTGTTTCGAAACCACGATCTCCTTGAAAATGGTGGAAAGCCAGGCCTGATGGTACATGCCTGTAATCCCCGCAGCTGGAAGGCTGAGGCAGGAGGCTCACTTGAGCTCTAGGCCACCCTGAACTGCAAAGGGAGTGGGGCTAGGAATACAACTTAGCAGCATAAGCAACTGCCTGGGAAAGTGTGAGGCTGGGTTGTTTGTTTCCCCTTTTAAAAAAAAAAAAAAGTGGAAAAGCCAAATACATTATAAGAAATTTCAACCTGGCAGGACTTTCTTTTTGGGGTGCCGGCAGTAGAAGCCAAGGCCACGAGATATATTCTTACCCTTTAATTGACCTGCCCATGCCCAATACTTCTTAATTCCTTATGGACGTCAGTGGGCACGAGCTAATGAACGGCCCACTGTCACTGGTAAGGTATCTGGGGGTAACAAAAGAATGTACACATTTGACTAATTCTTTTTTTTTTTGGTCTTTTGGAGACAGGGTCTCACTCTGCAATTCAGGCTGGCCTTGAGCTCACTTTGTAGCCCAGGCTGGCCTTGAACTCGCAACGATCCTCCTGCCTCAGCCTCCTGAGTGCTGGGATTACAGACGTGCGCCACCATGCACAGCTTGACTAATTCTTGGACAATCCCAGTCTTTGATACTGGAACAGCAGAATTTTCAGTCTACACAGCTGTTTTAAAGTCATGCATGGCGGTGCGTGCCTGTAGCCCCACACTCTAGGAGACCGAGGTAGACTGATCACAAGTTTCAGGCCAGCCTGGGTAACTCAGCGAGACCCTGAAACAGTTCTGGTGGTCCATGTGTGTGTCTTCAGTTGCACGCTGGCTACCTTGAAAATCTGAATCTACTGAAAATGTTTGCCTTTCACGGCCATTTTGACTTTGGGGAACAGCCCAGATTTGCAGTGTCAGCCCGGAAAGGTGGACAATTGCATTTCTAAAAGAAATTGCTCTATCTAGTGGTGTATGACATGGACTGTTGTCATAACAGAGCATAAAACTATCTGCCCACTTCTCAGGCTGTTTTCTTCACACATCATTTCTTAAACTCTTCTAATACTCAGGCTGCCTGGTTACAAACTCAACTCCCCCAATTCCATCAAGGTAAAAAATACAGTATCACTTTGACGTTAGATTTTCTTTTTTCGTTGCCGCTGGATCTTGACTGATTTACTTTCCTCTCACAAGGCCAGCTGGGTGATTTCCACTGAGAACTTTGAACCTTGATCTCAGCATCATAATCACAGACCCAAGTTTCTGCCCCCTGATGACATTTACTAAAATACTGAAACCTGAAGTGGCACAAGTGCACAGCTCTGAAGAGAATTACAAATGGGTGTTGATTGTTCAGCAAACATGTAGAACAAATTTGATCCTCAGCTCATATTCACATCTGTGAAAATGCTTTGAATAGAACTGACCTTCATATCCTCTGAAAGGTGCCTAATAGTCAACTTTCCGTGGATCCAATTATTTCACTTATTCTTTCAATCTTTTTTTGGGTTTTTGATGAAGGACATTCTTTTTGTCTTCAACTGACTCACAATCATTGCGAAATTGCTCAAACCACTCGCAAACTGTCTCCATGGCCACTGCACTATCACCGTACACTAATTTTAACATTTCATGTGTTTCTTTAGCAGTTTTTTGCAGTTTGAAACAAAATTCCACGTTAATGCGTTGTTCGTGATCCATTATTTGCAGCAGAGTTGAAAACACCTTCTCTCAACCAGAGCTCACAACCAGACACTGAGAAGTTAAAAACCTGTCACACTGTTTCTAAGGTTCCACAAGCTACTTGATGTACTGAGGATCCCTCCCTCTTCCCTTGATGGCACTCAGCAGCAGCATTCACTGTTATTTTTGAACATGTCTCACATGTGAATGGCCAAATCCAGTGCAGTTCCTTTCTCCTGAATGAAAAGAAACACAAGATTATATTCTTGAAGTCTGTAGTTCAAGCTTAAAGTCTTGTTTACTACACATTGGATTATCTCCTCAGTTGTTGCCCAACTGGCTCTAAGAAGCTCCGGTGCTGGACCAGACCAACAACCTAACATTCCCAAACAGAGAAACCTCTTAGGACCCCTCACAGGCTTTTCTTATCCCCAGAGTAAATATGGAGCAAACAAACTTGTGAAGGTACAAGGGTCAATTAGAGATACTGTTTACTCCATGCTTTATCTACTGCATTGTTATTTAATGGTAACAGTTGCAAAAACACTTTAGCTCTCTGGACAGAGCCCAGGAATATGCTATGTTCACTCTTGAGGTGAAAGCACCCTACCTCATGTTTTCTTTTCCCCCTTGTTTTTATTTTATTTTATTTTATTTTATTTTATTTTATTTTTTGAGACAGGGTCTCGCTATGTAGTAAGGCTTTCCTTGAACTTTCCTTGACCCTCCTCTGCCTCAGCCTCACCAAGCGCTGGGATTACAGGCTTGTGCCACCTTGTATCAGTCAGGGTTACTAGAGGAACAGATATAATATAAGATAGGGCTGGGGATTTAGCTCAGCGGCAAAAGTTCGGTTCCCGGTACCAGAGAAAAAACCAAAAAAAAAAAAAAAAAAGAATTA